TAACAACAATAACAACAAAAATCAAGTTTTGAAATCTTTGTGTTAATCTTCTGAATTTCTATTTGCAGATTATCATATCTATCTTTTCATTTATTTTTCAATTTGTTTTTGTAGTGTTTTCCTGAATTCTCCTAAAGTTTCTTCTGTTTCCTTTGATTTTCTCTGCAGCTTTCTTAATGTTTTTCTCAGTACATTGGGTGCTGTCTATCAGGTGGTAAGGGAACTGGTAGTGATTTTCCCAGTGTGTGGCTGCAGCAGGTTTGGTTGTGGCTAGGCTACAGGGGAATGATTGCTGCCTCCTATCAGGTGTGGCAAGAGGAAAAAACACACACACACACACATAAGAGACAACAAAATAAACAACAAAAAGGAAAATAATAAGGGAGAAAAATGTTTAAAAAAAAAAATCAACAAGCAACAGCAAGGAAAAAGAACATAATAACTGAAAAGAGAAAAAAGGGTAAGGAAAATAAAATGTTGGACGAGAAAAACAAAAATAGGGAGAAGAACAAAGAAAAGTGAGAGAGATAATCAGAAAAGTGCAGAAAAATCAAGAGGAATAAAGAAGAAGAAGGAGAGGAGAAAAAAGAGAAACATAAGAAGACAGGAAAGCAGAGGAAAAAAGATAAAGATTAAAAAAAAAAAAAAAAGGATATGAAAAGAGATGGAGGAAAAAACCCCAACAACAATTAAAGGGAAAAACTAGGGTAGGTGCCAAACTCAGAAAGGAGAAAACTGTGGGGGACTCCTGCCAGGGAAGCATCTCATAAGGTGGGAGAGGGTGGGATGAAAGGGTGGCACTCCTGGGTCTAGATGGAGTTCCTGTAGGCCTAGGTGATGCTATGGTCAGGTACCCAGTCTGGGAGTAGTTCATGAAGGCCTAATGGTGGCTGAGGTCAGGGGCTTTTGTTCCATAAAGGAATGCTTTTAGGTTCAGAGGGCATCTGGGGGCAGGGCAGCTGGTTATAAGAGTTCTTGCTAGTTTAGCGCTGGCCTGGGACCAGCTCTGTGCAGTCTGCAAATCTGAATAGGCAGTGTTTACCAGTCTGTAAACACTGGGGTTGTGCATCTAACGCTGGACTCACAATGGCATGTCTCTGACCTCTGGTAGAGCAGGGGCTGTGCTGGGGATGGACAAAGGTAGGGGCTGGTATACATCCAGTCCATCAGGCCACTGCTTGATTCAGTGTGGCTTGTGAAAGTTCAATATGACCACACTGAGTCAGGCCAGCCAACAGTTCACTTACCTGTCTGTCTCCTTTTTTTTTTTGGCTGCTCCTGATCAACTTTTTCTATAAATCAGTATTCAGTCTATTTCTCTGAAGTTCAGGGTTCCAGAATTATCACTGACATCTGTTTCAAAGTACAGGATGCAGAGAGGGACCTACTACCACCAAGACAGAATAGTCAGGAGTGGAGCACATCCTTTAGACCTGGGGTCCCTGTACTGCGAAACTCCTAAATCTAGGGGGAAATTAATGCCAAGACACATGAAGTTCTCCAGGAAATGCTGGGCCTACACATGCTGACAGGAGACAATGACCTTTCCCCAGACATTCTGAATTCTGATTTCTAGTCTTCTGCCTCCTCCCCACTTCTTGTATTGCCCTCCCTAACACCCAAACTAAACCCCCCACCCCAACCCCATTGTGTTTACCTTATATTCCATTAGTTCTTCCCTCCATTTAAGACAGTCTATTTTATCCAGTAATCTACCTGAACTTCCCACCACCTGGATCTCTGTTCCTCTTTGTTTACCTTCTTTCACATTGTAATTGTTTTGATCATAGACTGACCTCCCAGATCCTCTGTTCTTATAATTTTATTCTGTTCTCGACTCTTCCATTTG